AGCTGTTAATAGAATATTGGAATACATCAAAGGAACTACCTATTTTGGATTATGGTACCCTTCAGATGCAACCCCAAGTCTTATAGGATAGTCTAATGTGGATTATGATGGATGTAAAATTGATAGAAAGAGCACTAGTGGAACTTGTCACTTTCTAGGTTGCTCTTTAGTTTCATGGCATTTAAAGAAATAGGCATGTATAACATTGTCTACCACTGAAGCAGAATATATAGCTGTTGGGAATTGTTGTGTCCAAATTCTTTGGATGAAACAACAACTTGAAGATTTTGACATCTTCCTTAATCACATTTTGTTAAAATGTGACAATAAAAGTGTCATCAATCTAACTAAGAACCTTATAATGCACTCCAGGACTAAGCACATTGAAATTATACATCACTTTTTAAGAGATCATATTCAGAAAGTTGATTGCATCATTGAATATATTGATATAATGCAGTACACATCTCCACCAAACCATTGCCTAAGGATAGATTTATGAACTTAAGAGAGAGTTAGAAGTGTTATGTCTTAGAACTCAAATTTTGTTAAACTTTACGTTTTTCGTAAATCATCGCATAATAATCGATTATCTCTAGGTCACAATCGATCATCTTTGAACTAAGAAATGTTTTTGATTCGGTAATAATCGATTATCTCATGTCATAATCGATTATCTCGAGATTTTTTAGCAACTAGGTTTTTCATTCGGTAATAATCGATTATTTGAAGCAATAATCGATTATTTGCGATTTCTGGAAATAATTTTTGAAACGATAATCGATTATCATTAGTGACAATCAATTACCACACATCTTTATTTCAAAATGTAGTCGTTGCAACGGTCCAAAATGGCTAGAAACGACCATAAACCTCTAGTTTGTTCTTTTTCTTTATAAATAGCACCCAATAATCCATTAAAACCCACTTTTGCCCCAAACTCTGCCCAATTAAGCTCTCGAAAGCTCTTTCTCTCATTCTCTTGCAAAAGTCTTGCACTCTCTTCTTCATACTTCTCTATACTTTCAAAATCAATGGCAGATTCTCGTAGAAAAATGCCCACAAGAAGAAGAACTAGAGCTTCTTCCTCTGCTCATCCTCATGCACCTCGCCTTGCCAACATTAATGGGTGGCTCTCTAACACTAAAAAGCATGGGGAGTTTACTCATTTATGGAAGGAGAAGAAAATAATTTCCTCCAAATATGTTAATTTAGGTTGGTCAGATTCTATGGATTTCAATTCCCCAACCTTATGGAAGATCAAGGTTTACAATATCTTGTGGAGGAAAAAGGTTGCATCTATCCCGATCTTCTCCACGTTTTCTATTTCAACCTTCGTGTTCGTGATGGAGTGGCCACAACAAAGGTCAAAGGCGTCAATATCATCCTTGATGATGATATGTGGGCAAATGTAGCCATGCTCCCAATCCTGGATGATGTTGTAAAAGTTCACCTCGGAGTAGATGACTTCAATCGTGTCCTTGCCTACTAATCCTTCTTAAGGAAACCACAACTCCAACTGGGTGTAAACAACTTCTAGTGGGTGGATTCAAAGTTGAAGAACGTCTTATTCATTATCTGATTGTTTAGGTCCTTTGCTCGCACCCCACCAACCATCCCCAATGCTCCGAACAAGATCTTCTTATTATCTATGGGCTTCTCAATCATATTCATATTGATTGGCCCTCCCTCATTGTTGAAACCATGATGAAGGTGTAGAGATATCATGTCTATCATCTACCTTATGCCCTTCTTGTATGTAGAATCCTTGAATATAAAGGAGTAAATGTTGTTAGAGAAAACAAAGTTGTCATCCAAGTTGTCGGTTCTGAATTGGCAAAACTACCTTACGCCAAATGAGTTTTATTGCTCGTGGCAACATTTTTGTGCACAAAGATGATGCTCAACAAGATGATGATGATGATGATGATGATGATGAAGATACTCACAAGGCTGAGCCTATTAATGTAACTAACCCATCTAAAACTGGATCTTCTCATATTCCTTCATCATCCTCCTTTTCCATTGAGGAACATCTTGCCAATCTAACTCGTCAAATGGAGCAGATGACCACTCTCCAACAGTGCAGACATGATGAACTAATGAAGTTGCATCAGTCTCACCATGATTATGTGTGCGAGCATTTAAAGGATTTTGATACTTGGCTTGGAAATATTGAGAGTCACTTTAACCTTCAACCTCCTGATTATCCTCCTAGTCCCCTCTCATTTAAATATAATTGTAATTCTTTTCAGCCTTGCATTTATGTTTCCTTGTATTTTTTAAAATTATGATGTACTAGTCTCATTTATGTTAAATCAAAATTATATTGTCTTTGATTGATAAATTATTTTGTTGAGGGGAGCCTTTATTAAGGGGAAGTCTCTCCTACTTATGGTACTTTTTGTTTATGATAAAAAAGGGGGAGAAACAAAAAATATATTTTTATTGTTTAAAACTATTAACCTTTGTGTCTTGTTTAAAGTAAAAAAGAATGCAGGCTACACAAAAGTGCTTTTAACAAAGATGATTTTTTATCATCATAAAAAAGGGAGAGATTGTTACCAATGAAGAACATCAATGCTTTGATGAAGATTTTGACGATGATACACTTGAAGACTTCAAGGAACTTTTACATACATTGTTAAAACATCTATTGCAGAATCATTTGTATTAGGTTTATCTTTCAATTGTAAGCACTTAGAATTCTTATAAGTTATTCCTTTTTATTGATCTTTCGCGGCAATAATCGATTATCATAGGGAATAATCGATTATCACAAGTAAAAGTAGAAAAGGCTTTGTCTCGGCAATAATCGATTATCACTAAGGATAATCGATTATCACTACAAGTTTTAAATTGTTCGGGTTCGACAATAATCGATTATCACTAAGGATAATCGATTATCACGTTTTCCAAAACCCATAACGGCTTGAAAGAATCGATTATCTCTTGACATAATCGACTATCTCTAGCAGTTAGGAGTTGTCTTTTCATTTCCTAACCCTTGGCCTATAAATAGAAGTCTTTTAAACCTTTTACATGTTACCTAAACTACTAAGAGCACATAATTGGTTCTGAGGAAGTTCTTGAGTTTAAGTCTTAGCTTGATCAAGTCTTGAAAAAGGAGAACTTTGGTTTTAGTGTGTCTAAAGGTGCAAACGGTTCTTTACTAGTTGATTAAGCCGGTATTCATTCCCTCGTGTGTCAAAGGAAGGGGTTTTCTGTTCTTATAATTTCATTGTTCATATTGTAACTTCAAAGTAACTTTTAGTGAAAATTTAATCACTCTTTTATAGTGATTAACAACTGGACGTAGAATCTTTTGATTCGAATCAGTATAAAAATTCTTTGTGTGCTTTTCTTTAACTCTACATCTCCTAACTTTAAAATGTTCGAAAAAAGTTCTAAAAGAAAGCTAAAATTTTTGAAAGAACCAATTTACCCCTCCTTTCTTGGTTTGTGTTTGTTTTCATGCTCTTTAAAACGTTTCGCTACACGATACCAATTTCTACATCTATCACCAAAGGTCACATCATTACACCATTAAAATACTCCTTCAACATTTCAACCTTCGTCACTATGTTCCTTGAGGCTGTGGTTACTATACTCGTAGGGATAAGGCCAAAGATAACAGTTTTTCTTTGCAAAAGCTTCTATTGCAAATATCATAACCGAATACTAGGATTGACATATTGCTTCGGTCACACTGGATGCTATGTACTCTTTACACGCCTTGTAGTCATGTAAAGATTGGGGGTCTGATGTATTAGGTAGGGCTAAAGACCCTTTGACCCTTCCATATAAGGTCAATAGCCTTAAACATGACGACATACTGAGTACCAACGACCAGGTACCTCAATTTGGATACCTGGTACTAGTGTCTTCTAACTAAGAGCATGGATGAACTGTTTAAATGGCTAAAGATTAAGCCTAAAGCAAGTAATTGGACCACTGAGTTTTGCGGTTGATAGACCCACAGGTAGGGAAGACAAAAAAATCCGTGCCCGATGATATCCGCGGATAAAATTCGCGACAGATAGTTGGTATCCGCGGATGTTTACTACCCGCGGATTGCGGGTAGTGGGTTTTTTAATACCGCTTATAAACGGGTCGGGTGTGGGTATTATACTATCCGTACCTGCGGATATCCACTACCCACAAAAAGTAAAAATAAAAATTTAATTTATATTTTATTAAGTTAAATTTAATTAAAATTAACATTAATTTATATTTTATAAGGTTAAATATAATTAAAATTTATATATTTTTTGTAATTTTATTTAAGTTTTATTATAATATTTTATAAAAATATATTTTTTTAAATATTTGCGGGTATTCGTGGGTATCCACGGATATCCGCAAGTTTTAAAATATCCGTGAATATTTTTTAAACGGATATTCATGTGGGTAGCGGGTGAATTTTTTTTTGTCGGATCGAGTTGTGGGTATGCACTATCCGTGCTCGACCCGACCCGTTGTCATCCTACCCACAGGAGTGTGACCTATCTAGTTGAACCCGTGATCAACAAGGTAAAACACTATAAATAAAACATTAATAGTAATTTACTTTTTTTTTTTCATTAATTTAGATTTAACTTGGTAACTCTAATCAATTGCTGATTTAAATGTCGGAGAAAAAAAACCGAAAAGAGAAATCTTTGCAATGTCATGAAATAACATTTAGTATTGTAACAAATAATTCATTAATTAATCTAGAATTTTAACCAATTTAATTGTTAATTCTAGTTTCAAACCCAATGAAATTAAAATATTGTTTTCTATAACGTTGGAATATTTTCTTTTTATTTTCAGAAATACTATGACAAGAAAAATTATATTTCTTTTTATGCAGCTTCTCGTATATGACAAAGTGAAAAAAAATAATTGTCCCCTTCACATAATTTTCATTTTTATTAAATCAAATAATTAAAAATTTATTTCATACTTCCATGTGTTAAAATTTTCCCGTTTCCAGTTGTTTCCGTTTTCATCCCTTTCTTCTCCAAAACAACCATTCATGCAATGACGCCCAACTAGAAAACAAAATCTAATTGCACGTTAAAACTGTGTGTGTGAAGAAGCACGATCTATTTCCAATTTCCATCAACCCTCAGACAAACAAACGAACACGGTCTTTCTCTCTGTATATTTCATTTCTCCGCGTGATCAGAGAAAGAAAGGTCGAATGGCGACGAGGTACTGGGTAGTGTCTCTCCCTGTTCCGAATTCCGCATCCACTTTGTGGAACAAATTGCAGGAAGAAATCTCCAAACACTCCTTCGACACCCCTCTTTACAGAGTACATTCTATTTTTTTTCTCTCTCAACGCTTCACATTATATAACTAACTACCGTCTCTTATTTTCTTCTCATTTTCTCTTCTAATTCGCAGTTCAACATTCCTAATCTCCGCGTCGGAACCCTAGACTCTCTCCTCTCTCTCAGCGACGATCTCGTCAAGGTGCGTAAAATTCTCCATCACACCAACAAAATTTTCACTGGTTTCACCTGTTCATGGGTTCCGTTCCAATCCTGGATATTGAGAAAAAAATTACGGAGGAATGTTGTTACGTTGTGGCACGGCTGCGGATTTCTTAGAGATCATTAATTGCTTATTTGTTCACTGTGCTAGATCTGTTTTGTGTGTGTGTGTGCAGTCGAACAACTTCGTGGAGGGAGTGTCACACAAGATCAGGCGACAGATTGATGATCTGGAGAGAGTGTCGGGCGCGGTGACCAGTAGTTTGACGGTGGATGGAGTACCTGTTGATTCGTACTTGACGAGGTTTGTTCGACTGGAAACTGTGAAGACTGTGATTTGTTTCTGATGAATTATTGTTTTGTGATGAAGATTTGGTGGTGCTGTGGTGGATGTAGGTTTGCTTGGGATGAAGCCAGGTACCCGACTATGTCGCCGTTGAAGGAGACTGTGGATGGGATTCATGGTCAGGTGGCAAAGATTGAGGATGATCTCAAGGTTATTCATATTTCTAATGCAGATTTGGACATAATTTGATTTTGTTGTGTGATTTGCGCAGACTATATTTTTACAGTGATGTATATATATCCTGTTGTAATTTAGTGGTCGTGCTAACTATTGAGGAAGGTCAAGTATCTGGTTTTCCTTCTTGATTACTACTTCAAGGTAAAAGATTAGTAACACATTAATTAGGTTGAAAATGAATAAGAGGCTAATGCTTTAATGGTTATTGCTTTCACATTCTTCATGCTTTTTTTTTTTTTTTTCAGTTTTTCTTCTAGTTATTGGAAGAGTTAAGATTAATAAAAGAGACTATATTTAACAGTAATTGAGAAAGCTTGAAAACTCCCCTCATATTGTAACAATTAAAATAAATAAAGAGACTATATTCATTTTTTGTTCTCATATTTGTATTGATAGGATTTTGATACAATGTGTATATGGGAGATCAAAGATCAATCATAGATACTTAGGTACCAAGATAGGTACAACTAATAGGTAATAACATTTTACCAATTCAACTACTTCCTAACTATATTTAATACTTATTTTAACACTCCTCCTTAAGCTTGGAGCATACAAATTGTATGTACCATGCTTGGAACAAATAAAATCAATTTGAGGTCCCCTTAATGATTTTGTTAACACATCTACAAGTTGATCATTGGATCCAACAAACTCACTACACATTTCCTTGGACAACAACTTTTCCCGAAGAAAGTGATAGTCAATCTCAATGTATATAGATCCTGCCCAGTCAACATCGCCATACCCTGAGACTTGGGTATTACCTTTATCTTCATATAACAAACTTTGTCTTGGAGCCTTTATCNAAAGAGACTATATTTAACAGTAATTGAGAAAGCTTGAAAACTCCCCTCATATTGTAACAATTAAAATAAATAAAGAGACTATATTCATTTTTTGTTCTCATATTTGTATTGATAGGATTTTGATACAATGTGTATATGGGAGATCAAAGATCAATCATAGATACTTAGGTACCAAGATAGGTACAACTAATAGGTAATAACATTTTACCAATTCAACTACTTCCTAACTATATTTAATACTTATTTTAACACTCCTCCTTAAGCTTGGAGCATACAAATTGTATGTACCATGCTTGGAACAAATAAAATCAATTTGAGGTCCCCTTAATGATTTTGTTAACACATCTACAAGTTGATCATTGGATCCAACAAACTCACTACACATTTCCTTGGACAACAACTTTTCCCGAAGAAAGTGATAGTCAATCTCAATGTATATAGATCCTGCCCAGTCAACATCGCCATACCCTGAGACTTGGGTATTACCTTTATCTTCATATAACAAACTTTGTCTTGGAGCCTTTATCTTTATATAACAAACCTCTAGATTCATATCATTCTCCAATCAGTTGACGTGTACCACATTCCTGTATAACAAAGGAATTGATATCATAAGTTATTGAATAATTTAAAGACTTGGTTAATTGACTCAAAGAAATAAGATTGAAAGGACAAGAAGGAACAAAAAGAACTGATTTTAGATTTAGGGAAGGAGAAATGAAACCTGACAAATTCTTTGGGAGGAGATTTTACAGCCCTTGGCTAAGGTTATGAAATGAGGATTTTTGGGAAAGCAAAGGGATTAGAACAAGGAGGCATTACCCGAAATGTGGTCAGAAGTAGCTGAATTAATTATCCATGGACTTTGACCTTCCATGGATTTTGAGATGTAAGTTGTTGAGAAGTTGTGATTTACAAATGATTGTGCTAAGCTATTAGATTTCAACCTCAAATATTCTTGGTTTTCATCATTAGAGAATTTTGGTTTAACAATTTCAGCATTAGAGACATTGCTTGTTTTGTTAGGATAATCGTGCAAAGAGAAACAGGCAGCAGATCCAAACCTTTTCAGTGGTAGAGAAGAACAAAACAACTAAGGTAGATTAGAACCTTAAGGTGACCTTCAACTAGGATAACCTTTCATGACATCAAAATGAAGTTCCAATTGTCATAATAGAGACAGGGAGTTCTGGTGACCTATGATGGTGGCGCAACAAAGTTCCAGTGAGAGAATAGAGAATGAGTACGTTGCAATGCGTGGAGGAAATTAGTTTCTGGGACTAGTGGGGTTAGATGTCACTTGGAAGGACACTCTAGATCTGGTGTTCACTGGAGAAAACTGAGACATAGCAAACAGTGGTGAAAACTGTGCCAGAGAGGATAGAGACTAGCAGAGTGGGATGGAGCCGTTTTGGTTCCAAGTTAGGATAAATAAAAGAGACTGTATTTAATAGTAATTGAGAGAGCTTGAAAACTCCCTTCATATGTTCTCATATTTATATTGATAAGATTCTGACTCAATGTGTATAGGGAAGATCAAAGATCAATCATATATACTTAGGTACAAAGATAGGAAGGACTAATAGGTACTAGCATTTTCCTAATACAACTACTTCCTAAATATATTTATTGCTTATTCTAACAGGAACAACTATGTTATTTAAGTCATGACAGATGTTCCTATGGCTAGTGACAATTTGATGATGGTTTATAGTGATTTTAGAGAGGTTGGGTGAGTATAACAAAGGGATTTTCAGGCAGGGAGATGATTTCAGTCAGAATGGCTAAGCTGATCTTTTGTATTTCTAATCCTGTTCCATCATTTAATGTCATGTTTGGCATTATTGTGTTTTGGAGTAATTTTCTGTAGTGTTTTATTTATTGATTAGTGTTTGTTGTTTGGTTTTGTGCCTTGTTTGATTTTTGGGTGTGTTAGGCAAGAANAGCGGGTGAATTTTTTTTTGTCGGATCGAGTTGTGGGTATGCACTATCCGTGCTCGACCCGACCCGTTGTCATCCTACCCACAGGAGTGTGACCTATCTAGTTGAACCCGTGATCAACAAGGTAAAACACTATAAATAAAACATTAATAGTAATTTACTTTTTTTTTTTCATTAATTTAGATTTAACTTGGTAACTCTAATCAATTGCTGATTTAAATGTCGGAGAAAAAAAACCGAAAAGAGAAATCTTTACAATGTCATGAAATAACATTTAGTATTGTAACAAATAATTCATTAATTAATCTAGAATTTTAACCAATTTAATTGTTAATTCTAGTTTCAAACCCAATGAAATTAAAATATTGTTTTCTATAACGTTGGAATATTTTCTTTTTATTTTCAGAAATACTATGACAAGAAAAATTATATTTCTTTTTATGCAGCTTCTCGTATATGACAAAGTGAAAAAAAATAATTGTCCCCTTCACATAATTTTCATTTTTATTAAATCAAATAATTAAAAATTTATTTCATACTTCCATGTGTTAAAATTTTCCCGTTTCCAGTTGTTTCCGTTTTCATCCCTTTCTTCTCCAAAACAACCATTCATGCAATGACGCCCAACTAGAAAACAAAATCTAATTGCACGTTAAAACTGTGTGTGTGAAGAAGCACGATCTATTTCCAATTTCCATCAACCCTCAGACAAACAAACGAACACGGTCTTTCTCTCTGTATATTTCATTTCTCCGCGTGATCAGAGAAAGAAAGGTCGAATGGCGACGAGGTACTGGGTAGTGTCTCTCCCTGTTCCGAATTCCGCATCCACTTTGTGGAACAAATTGCAGGAAGAAATCTCCAAACACTCCTTCGACACCCCTCTTTACAGAGTACATTCTATTTTTTTTCTCTCTCAACGCTTCACATTATATAACTAACTACCGTCTCTTATTTTCTTCTCATTTTCTCTTCTAATTCGCAGTTCAACATTCCTAATCTCCGCGTCGGAACCCTAGACTCTCTCCTCTCTCTCAGCGACGATCTCGTCAAGGTGCGTAAAATTCTCCATCACACCAACAAAATTTTCACTGGTTTCACCTGTTCATGGGTTCCGTTCCAATCCTGGATATTGAGAAAAAAATTACGGAGGAATGTTGTTACGTTGTGGCACGGCTGCGGATTTCTTAGAGATCATTAATTGCTTATTTGTTCACTGTGCTAGATCTGTTTTGTGTGTGTGTGTGCAGTCGAACAACTTCGTGGAGGGAGTGTCACACAAGATCAGGCGACAGATTGATGATCTGGAGAGAGTGTCGGGCGCGGTGACCAGTAGTTTGACGGTGGATGGAGTACCTGTTGATTCGTACTTGACGAGGTTTGTTCGACTGGAAACTGTGAAGACTGTGATTTGTTTCTGATGAATTATTGTTTTGTGATGAAGATTTGGCGGTGCTGTGGTGGATGTAGGTTTGCTTGGGATGAAGCCAGGTACCCGACTATGTCGCCGTTGAAGGAGACTGTGGATGGGATTCATGGTCAGGTGGCAAAGATTGAGGATGATCTCAAGGTTATTCATATTTCTAACGCAGATTTGGACATAATTTGATTTTGTTGTGTGATTTGCGCAGACTATATTTTTACAGTGATGTATATATATCCTGTTGTAATTTAGTGGTCGTGCTAACTATTGAGGAAGGTCAAGTATCTGGTTTTCCTTCTTGATTACTACTTCAAGGTAAAAGATTAGTAACACATTAATTAGGTTGAAAATGAATAAGAGGCTAATGCTTTAATGGTTATTGCTTTCACATTCTTCATGCTTTTTTTTTTTTTTTTCAGTTTTTCTTCTAGTTATTGGAAGAGTTAAGATTAATAAAAGAGACTATATTTAACAGTAATTGAGAAAGCTTGAAAACTCCCCTCATATTGTAACAATTAAAATAAATAAAGAGACTATATTCATTTTTTGTTCTCATATTTGTATTGATAGGATTTTGATACAATGTGTATAGGGGAGATCAAAGATCAATCATAGATACTTAGGTACCAAGATAGGTACAACTAATAGGTAATAACATTTTACCAATTCAACTACTTCCTAACTATATTTAATACTTATTTTAACACTCCTCCTTAAGCTTGGAGCATACAAATTGTATGTACCATGCTTGGAACAAATAAAATCAATTTGAGGTCCCCTTAATGATTTTGTTAACACATCTACAAGTTGATCATTGGATCCAACAAACTCACTACACATTTCCTTGGACAACAACTTTTCCCGAAGAAAGTGATAGTCAATCTCAATGTATATAGATCCTGCCCAGTCAACATCGCCATACCCTGAGACTTGGGTATTACCTTTATCTTCATATAACAAACTTTGTCTTGGAGCCTTTATCTTTATATAACAAACCTCTAGATTCATATCATTCTCCAATCAGTTGACGTGTACCACATTCCTGTATAACAAAGGAATTGATATCATAAGTTATTGAACAATTTAAAGACTTGGTTAATTGACTCAAAGAAATAAGATTGAAAGGACAAGAAGGAACAAAAAGAACTGATTTTAGATTTAGGGAAGGAGAAATGAAACCTGACAAATTCTTTGGGAGGAGATTTTACAGCCCTTGGCTAAGGTTATGAAATGAGGATTTTTGGGAAAGCAAAGGGATTAGAACAAGGAGGCATTACCCGAAATGTGGTCAGAAGTAGCTGAATTAATTATCCATGGACTTTGACCTTCCATGGATTTTGAGATGCAAGTTGTTGAGAAGTTGTGATTTACAAATGATTGTGCTAAGCTATTAGATTTCAACCTCAAATATTCTTGGTTTTCATCATTAGAGAATTTTGGTTTAACAATTTCAGCATTAGAGACATTGCTTGTTTTGTTAGGATAATCGTGCAAAGAGAAACAGGCAGCAGATCCAAACCTTTTCAGTGGTAGAGAAGAACAAAACAACTAAGGTAGATTAGAACCTTAAGGTGACCTTCAACTAGGATAACCTTTCATGACATCAAAATGAAGTTCCAATAGTCATAATAGAGACAGGGAGTTCTGGTGACCTATGATGGTGGCGCAACAAAGTTCCAGTGAGAGAATAGAGAATGAGTACGTTGCAATGCGTGGAGGAAATTAGTTTCTGGGACTAGTGGGGTTAGATGTCACTTGGAAGGACACTCTAGATCTGGTGTTCACTGGAGAAAACTGAGACATAGCAAACAGTGGTGAAAACTGTGCCAGAGAGGATAGAGACTAGCAGAGTGGGATGGAGCCGTTTTGGTTCCAAGTTAGGATAAATAAAAGAGACTGTATTTAAGAGTAATTGAGAGAGCTTGAAAACTCCCTTCATATGTTCTCATATTTATATTGATAAGATTCTGACTCAATGTGTATAGGGAAGATCAAAGATCAATCATATATACTTAGGTACAAAGATAGGAAGGACTAATAGGTACTAGCATTTTCCTAATACAACTACTTCCTAAATATATTTATTGCTTATTCTAACAGGAACAACTATGTTATTTAAGTCATGACAGATGTTCCTATGGCTAGTGACAATTTGATGATGGTTTATAGTGATTTTAGAGAGGTTGGGTGAGTATAACAAAGGGATTTTCAGGCAGGGAGATGATTTCAGTCAGAATGGCTAAGCTGATCTTTTGTATTTCTAATCCTGTTCCATCATTTAATGTCATGTTTGGCATTATTGTGTTTTGGAGTAATTTTCTGTAGTGTTTTATTTATTGATTAGTGTTTGTTGTTTGGTTTTGTGCCTTGTTTGATTTTTGGGTGTGTTAGGCAAGAAAATACAAAATGTTGACAATATGGCAGGATTAAGGGTTTATTATAGGAGGAAGTTTAAAAACAAAGACTAAGAATACAGTTGGAAGGTAGTTTTTGCAGCTAAGTGTTTGCTAGCAAATAGGACCCTTTTACAGGAAGCTTAAAGGGAAAAGGAGATGGTTTTGGAGTTTTAAGAGTTTTTTAACTGGAATAATTCAGTGGAAAAGAGAGTTTGAAATTGTTCAGTAACCTTTGATGCCAATTTTAAGATCATGTTACTAGTTGAATATAGAGATATAACATCACTCACTTGTTATCATTTGTGGTTAAAACATTTTCTTCAAAATCTGAAAGTTTTTGAATTTGGGAAATTAGAATTTATTGTGATTATGAAGCACTTTTCTCATTTCTTCTAACTATGTGTTTTATAATAAGCACATTGAAATTAATTGTCATTTTGTTTGAGAAAAGTTGTTATCTTTGTTGGCTCAAATTTTCAATTGGTAGATATTTTGATAAAATCCTTGATAGGACCTCATTCAAGTTATATGTTTCCAGCTTGGCACATAGAATCTATATGCTCCAGCTCTAGGTGGGAGTGCTAAGATAGTTTATTTTATTTTCTGAGCAAATTGTTTTGTGTTGTATATATTATTAGCCTAGAGTCCTAGGGGTGAACATTATCTTCTATCTTGTTCTCTTGCCTTGTACTTTTGTTGCAAGATACATATCTCTATATACTAGAATATGTATCTAAATATAATTCAAGTTAAGATCTCTCAAGTTTCTTTTCTCATTTTTCTCAAAGTTATCGAGTTTTCCCAATTGCATAATGAATGTCAAGTAATACCTTGGATTGATACTTTTCAATTCCCAAATGACGTTTCAGTCTCCCTAGAGTTTTTATCTTAAACTATTTTGATAAATGTTGACTCGAGTTGTTCATTCCAATCATCACCAATGACAATTATATCATCTACATACACTAACAATATAGTCTCTCCCCTTGAGGTGGGGTGTGTGATAATTAAGGTGCTGTTTCCTTGACTTTGTATCCTGAGGTTTTCATGACTTTATTGAGTCTCTCAAACCACACTGCGGGAGCTTTTTTCCAAAGCCATATAAAGCTTTTCTTAACTTGCAAACATAATTGGCAGCAACTTTATATACTGGAGGAACATCCATGTAGATTTCCTCCTCAAGATCCCCATGCTTGAAAGCATTCTTCTCATCACACTGCTGTAATTCCATGCAATTATCTGTAGCAAGAGATAATATTAACCTAGCTGTATTCATCTTTGCAACTAGTGAAAAACTCTCCAAGTAACCACACATTTGAGTGAAACCCTTAGAAATGTAGTCAATCTTTCATATCTTAGATGCCCATTTTGAACAATGTAGGCTGAATTGAATTTAGAAGTTCTTCCTTTCAAGCCCATAAAATAAAATAAAACTCAAGGCTTTCTATCTGCCATATGAAATTGTTTTGACCATATAATTTCAGTGGGTTTTGCTAAAGTAGTTCCATTCTTGAAAAGATAAAGAAAAAGGAAGAATGCCATTGTTCATTGCTGATGAACAATGTAAAATAAAGAATCCCCATTTTACACTGTGTTGATTAAATTTTCTATTTTGCGCTTAGCTCTGTTTTTCTTTTCAGGTTCGTGTTTCTGAGTATAACAATATCCGCAGTCAGCTTAATACCATCAATAGAAAGCAAACTGGAAGGTGCGAATGTTGTTTATTGGCCGATCATGACTTTTTAATTTAATACTGTTATATTTCTTATCTGACTTGAATGCCCTTTTTGCTTTTTTTAGCTTAGCTGTGCGTGATCTTTCCAACTTGGTAAAACCTGAGGATATTATAACATCAGAAAATTTAACTACCCTGCTTGCTATTGTTCCAAAGTATTCACAGAAGGATTGGCTCTCAAGCTATGAAACATTGACCAACTATGTGGTAAGAGTTGCTACATATTTGCTTATATACTCAGCTGCTACTTACCCAAGATTATTATGAATGATGATTCACTATATTTTTACTCAATTAATATAAACAATCTCTGAATTTAAATAAATAGTTCAACCATGCTTAATTCTGGAATATTCCTGAATACAATCTTTTTGCCTTGGTTTATTTCTAATTCTGATTAAAATAAGTATTTTAGGTTCCCAGGTCTTCCAAGAAGTTGTATGAAGATAACGAATATGCTCTTTATACTGTAATACTATTCAGTCGTGTTGCAGACAATTTTAGAACTAGTGCACGAGAAAAAGGGTTCCAAGTAAGTATATTTTCTCAAGTTGCGAATACTGTCTTCAGTTTTAGAGGATTGGTAAAATTCATATCCTTTTTTTAGATTTACATCCATTAACTTGTTTATGGAAATATATGGGAAAGCATGAGGCATGTTATGCAATATCAATTCGGGGGTTGAAGAAAAGTATTTTAATGGAAATATATCATACTTCAGATTCGTGATTTCGAATACAGTCCTGAATCACACGAGAGTCGCAAGCAAGAGTTAGAGAAATTGATAGATGACCAGGAAAGTTTGAGGTCCTCTCTGTTGCAGTGGTGTTATACTAGTTATGGAGAGGTATTATTCATTATTTATCACATCAATTAATTTGTACAATAGCTGTCCAAACAAAATATTACAATGCACAATATTCAGGTCGGATAGGAGGAAACTGAGCACAGATAATGAAATCAATTATTATGAATTCCTTGAGTATCTGTAATTTACATTTGTATTTACTTTTTTTTGTGTTAATAAAAAATAATAAAATTATTATTATTATTATAATTATAAACATAAATATAAATAAATTTTATAATTTTATTGCAAGTGGTTTTTATTTATTTTGTAGAAATTCTTTTATAATAGGTAGTTATTTGAATTTAAAAAATAGTTAAATTTAAAAAAAAAACGGCCAAAATGTAAAAAGAAAGTTAAATTTTAAAAAAGTGTCACTTAAATAATAAAATAGTAAAACAATTAATTTAATTTTTTCTTAAAAAAAGTCTATTACATAAAGGATAAAATAGAAAACAAAATATGAACACAAGAAAAAGAGAATCCTTTATATAATGGTCTAGATGATGCCTTTTCCCTCTTCACCACTGTTGGCACTTTTAGCAGCCCCTTAATTTTTCGGTTTAAATTTCTACATTTTTTATTTACATTTGAAAATTCTGTTATCACTTCTCAGTATCATAAAATATTGTTAAGTTCTGTGATCTCTCTCTTGTTCTTGCCCTGTTATCATAAATGATGTGATTTCTGATTTAATGTTTTTACTTTTTTTATTTACTGAAGGTTTTCAGCTCCTGGATGCACTTTTGTGCAGTACGTGTATTTACTGAGAGCATTCTGAGATATGGTCTTCCACCATCTTTCTTGGTTAGATANGAGTAATTGAGAGAGCTTGAAAACTCCCTTCATATGTTCTCATATTTATATTGATAAGATTCTGACTCAATGTGTATAGGGAAGATCAAAGATCAATCATATATACTTAGGTACAAAGATAGGAAGGACTAATAGGTACTAGCATTTTCCTAATACAACTACTTCCTAAATATATTTATTGCTTATTCTAACAGGAACAACTATGTTATTTAAGTCATGACAGATGTTCCTATGGCTAGTGACAATTTGATGATGGTTTATAGTGATTTTAGAGAGGTTGGGTGAGTATAACAAAGGGATTTTCAGGCAGGGAGATGATTTCAGTCAGAATGGCTAAGCTGATCTTTTGTATTTCTAATCCTGTTCCATCATTTAATGTCATGTTTGGCATTATTGTGTTTTGGAGTAATTTTCTGTAGTGTTTTATTTATTGATTAGTGTTTGTTGTTTGGTTTTGTGCCTTGTTTGATTTTTGGGTGTGTTAGGCAAGAAAATACAAAATGTTGACAATATGGCAGGATTAAGGGTTTATTATAGGAGGAAGTTTAAAAACAAAGACTAAGAATACAGTTGGAAGGTAGTTTTTGCAGCTAAGTGTTTGCTAGCAAATAGGACCCTTTTACAGGAAGCTTAAAGGGAAAAGGAGATGGTTTTGGAGTTTTAAGAGTTTTTTAACTGGAATAATTCAGTGGAAAAGAGAGTTTGAAATTGTTCAGTAACCTTTGATGCCAATTTTAAGATCATGTTACTAGTTGAATATAGAGATATAACATCACTCACTTGTTATCATTTGTGGTTAAAACATTTTCTTCAAAATCTGAAAGTTTTTGAATTTGGGAAATTAGAATTTATTGTGATTATGAAGCACTTTTCTCATTTCTTCTAACTATGTGTTTTATAATAAGCACATTGAAATTAATTGTCATTTTGTTTGAGAAAAGTTGTTATCTTTGTTGGCTCAAATTTTCAATTGGTAGATATTTTGATAAAATCCTTGATAGGACCTCATTCAAGTTATATGTTTCCAGCTTGGCACATAGAATCTATATGCTCCAGCTCTAGGTGGGAGTGCTAAGATAGTTTATTTTATTTTCTGAGCAAATTGTTTTGTGTTGTATATATTATTAGCCTAGAGTCCTAGGGGTGAACATTATCTTCTATCTTGTTCTNAGTCGAACAACTTCGTGGAGGGAGTGTCACACAAGATCAGGCGACAGATTGATGATCTGGAGAGAGTGTCGGGCGCGGTGACCAGTAGTTTGACGGTGGATGGAGTACCTGTTGATTCGTACTTGACGAGGTTTGTTCGACTGGAAACTGTGAAGACTGTGATTTGTTTCTGATGAATTATTGTTTTGTGATGAAGATTTGGCGGTGCTGTGGTGGATGTAGGTTTGCTTGGGATGAAGCCAGGTACCCGACTATGTCGCCGTTGAAGGAGACTGTGGATGGGATTCATGGTCAGGTGGCAAAGATTGAGGATGATCTCAAGGTTATTCATATTTCTAACGCAGATTTGGACATAATTTGATTTTGTTGTGTGATTTGCGCAGACTATATTTTTACAGTGATGTATATATATCCTGTTGTAATTTAGTGGTCGTGCTAACTATTGAGGAAGGTCAAGTATCTGGTTTTCCTTCTTGATTACTACTTCAAGGTAAAAGATTAGTAACACATTAATTAGGTTGAAAATGAATAAGAGGCTAATGCTTTAATGGTTATTGCTTTCACATTCTTCATGCTTTTTTTTTTTTTTTTCAGTTTTTCTTCTAGTTATTGGAAGAGTTAAGATTAATAAAAGAGACTATATTTAACAGTAATTGAGAAAGCTTGAAAACTCCCCTCATATTGTAACAATTAAAATAAATAAAGAGACTATATTCATTTTTTGTTCTCATATTTGTATTGATAGGATTTTGATACAATGTGTATAGGGGAGATCAAAGATCAATCATAGATACTTAGGTACCAAGATAGGTACAACTAATAGGTAATAACATTTTACCAATTCAACTACTTCCTAACTATATTTAATACTTATTTTAACACTCCTCCTTAAGCTTGGAGCATACAAATTGTATGTACCATGCTTGGAACAAATAAAATCAATTTGAGGTCCCCTTAATGATTTTGTTAACACATCTACAAGTTGATCATTGGATCCAACAAACTCACTACACATTTCCTTGGACAACAACTTTTCCCGAAGAAAGTGATAGTCAATCTCAATGTATATAGATCCTGCCCAGTCAACATCGCCATACCCTGAGACTTGGGTATTACCTTTATCTTCATATAACAAACTTTGTCTTGGAGCCTTTATCTTTATATAACAAACCTCTAGATTCATATCATTCTCCAATCAGTTGACGTGTACCACATTCCTGTATAACAAAGGAATTGATATCATAAGTTATTGAACAATTTAAAGACTTGGTTAATTGACTCAAAGAAATAAGATTGAAAGGACAAGAAGGAACAAAAAGAACTGATTTTAGATTTAGGGAAGGAGAAATGAAACCTGACAAATTCTTTGGGAGGAGATTTTACAGCCCTTGGCTAAGGTTATGAAATGAGGATTTTTGGGAAAGCAAAGGGATTAGAACAAGGAGGCATTACCCGAAATGTGGTCAGAAGTAGCTGAATTAATTATCCATGGACTTTGACCTTCCATGGATTTTGAGATGCAAGTTGTTGAGAAGTTGTGATTTACAAATGATTGTGCTAAGCTATTAGATTTCAACCTCAAATATTCTTGGTTTTCATCATTAGAGAATTTTGGTTTAACAATTTCAGCATTAGAGACATTGCTTGTTTTGTTAGGATAATCGTGCAAAGAGAAACAGGCAGCAGATCCAAACCTTTTCAGTGGTAGAGAAGAACAAAACAACTAAGGTAGATTAGAACCTTAAGGTGACCTTCAACTAGGATAACCTTTCATGACATCAAAATGAAGTTCCAATAGTCATAATAGAGACAGGGAGTTCTGGTGACCTATGATGGTGGCGCAACAAAGTTCCAGTGAGAGAATAGAGAATGAGTACGTTGCAATGCGTGGAGGAAATTAGTTTCTGGGACTAGTGGGGTTAGATGTCACTTGGAAGGACACTCTAGATCTGGTGTTCACTGGAGAAAACTGAGACATAGCAAACAGTGGTGAAAACTGTGCCAGAGAGGATAGAGACTAGCAGAGTGGGATGGAGCCGTTTTGGTTCCAAGTTAGGATAAATAAAAGAGACTGTATTTAAGAGTAATTGAGAGAGCTTGAAAACTCCCTTCATATGTTCTCATATTTATATTGATAAGATTCTGACTCAATGTGTATAGGGAAGATCAAAGATCAATCATATATACTTAGGTACAAAGATAGGAAGGACTAATAGGTACTAGCATTTTCCTAATACAACTACTTCCTAAATATATTTATTGCTTATTCTAACAGGAACAACTATGTTATTTAAGTCATGACAGATGTTCCTATGGCTAGTGACAATTTGATGATGGTTTATAGTGATTTTAGAGAGGTTGGGTGAGTATAACAAAGGGATTTTCAGGCAGGGAGATGATTTCAGTCAGAATGGCTAAGCTGATCTTTTGTATTTCTAATCCTGTTCCATCATTTAATGTCATGTTTGGCATTATTGTGTTTTGGAGTAATTTTCTGTAGTGTTTTATTTATTGATTAGTGTTTGTTGTTTGGTTTTGTGCCTTGTTTGATTTTTGGGTGTGTTAGGCAAGAAAATACAAAATGTTGACAATATGGCAGGATTAAGGGTTTATTATAGGAGGAAGTTTAAAAACAAAGACTAAGAATACAGTTGGAAGGTAGTTTTTGCAGCTAAGTGTTTGCTAGCAAATAGGACCCTTTTACAGGAAGCTTAAAGGGAAAAGGAGATGGTTTTGGAGTTTTAAGAGTTTTTTAACTGGAATAATTCAGTGGAAAAGAGAGTTTGAAATTGTTCAGTAACCTTTGATGCCAATTTTAAGATCATGTTACTAGTTGAATATAGAGATATAACATCACTCACTTGTTATCATTTGTGGTTAAAACATTTTCTTCAAAATCTGAAAGTTTTTGAATTTGGGAAATTAGAATTTATTGTGATTATGAAGCACTTTTCTCATTTCTTCTAACTATGTGTTTTATAATAAGCACATTGAAATTAATTGTCATTTTGTTTGAGAAAAGTTGTTATCTTTGTTGGCTCAAATTTTCAATTGGTAGATATTTTGATAAAATCCTTGATAGGACCTCATTCAAGTTATATGTTTCCAGCTTGGCACATAGAATCTATATGCTCCAGCTCTAGGTGGGAGTGCTAAGATAGTTTATTTTATTTTCTGAGCAAATTGTTTTGTGTTGTATATATTATTAGCCTAGAGTCCTAGGGGTGAACATTATCTTCTATCTTGTTCGCTTGCCTTGTACTTTTGTTGCAAGATACATATCTCTATATACTAGAATATGTATCTAAATATAATTCAAGTTAAGATCTCTCAAGTTTCTTTTCTCATTTTTCTCAAAGTTATCTAGTTTTCCCAATTGCATAATGAATGTCAAGCAATACCTTGGATTGATACTTTTCAATTCCCAAATGAAGTTTCAGTCTCCCTAGAGTTTTTATCTTAAACTATTTTGATAAATGTTGACTCGAGTTGTTCATTCCAATCATCACCAATGACAATTATATCATCTACATACACTAACAATATAGTCTCTCCCCTTGAGGTGGGGTGTGTGATAATTAAGGTGCTGTTTCCTTGACTTTGTATCCTGAGGTTTTCATGACTTTATTGAGTCTCTCAAACCACACTGCGGGAGCTTTTTTCCAAAGCCATATAAAGCTTTTCTTAACTTGCAAACATAATTGGCAGCAACTTTATATACTGGAGGAACATCCATGTAGATTTCCTCCTCAAGATCCCCATGCTTGAAAGCATTCTTCTCATCACACTGCTGTAATTCCATGCAATTATCTGTAGCAAGAGATAATATTAACCTAGCTGTATTCATCTTTGCAACTAGTGAAAAACTCTCCAAGTAACCACACATTTGAGTGAAACCCTTAGAAATGTAGTCAATCTTTCATATCTTAGATGCCCATTTTGAACAATGTAGGCTGAATTGAATTTAGAAGTTCTTCCTTTCAAGCCCATAAAATAAAATAAAACTCAAGGCTTTCTATCTGCCATATGAAATTGTTTTGACCATATAATTTCAGTGGGTTTTGCTAAAGTAGTTCCATTCTTGAAAAGATAAAGAAAAAGGAAGAATGCCATTGTTCATTGCTGATGAACAATGTAAAATAAAGAATCCCCATTTTACACTGTGTTGATTAAATTTTCTATTTTGCGCTTAGCTCTGTTTTTCTTTTCAGGTTCGTGTTTCTGAGTATAACAATATCCGCAGTCAGCTTAATACCATCAATAGAAAGCAAACTGGAAGGTGCGAATGTTGTTTATTGGCCGATCATGACTTTTTAATTTAATACTGTTATATTTCTTATCTGACTTGAATGCCCTTTTTGCTTTTTTTAGCTTAGCTGTGCGTGATCTTTCCAACTTGGTAAAACCTGAGGATATTATAACATCAGAAAATTTAACTACCCTGCTTGCTATTGTTCCAAAGTATTCACAGAAGGATTGGCTCTCAAGCTATGAAACATTGACCAACTATGTGGTAAGAGTTGCTACATATTTGCTTATATACTCAGCTGCTACTTACCCAAGATTATTATGAATGATGATTCACTATATTTTTACTCAATTAATATAAACAATCTCTGAATTTAAATAAATAGTTCAACCATGCTTAATTCTGGAATATTCCTGAATACAATCTTTTTGCCTTGGTTTATTTCTAATTCTGATTAAAATAAGTATTTTAGGTTCCCAGGTCTTCCAAGAAGTTGTATGAAGATAACGAATATGCTCTTTATACTGTAACACTATTCAGTCGTGTTGCAGACAATTTTAGAACTAGTGCACGAGAAAAAGGGTTCCAAGTAAGTATATTTTCTCAAGTTGCGAATACTGTCTTCAGTTTTAGAGGATTGGTAAAATTCATATCCTTTTTTTAGATTTACATCCATTAACTTGTTTATGGAAATATATGGGAAAGCATGAGGCATGTTATGCAATATCAATTCGGGGGTTGAAGAAAAGTATTTTAATGGAAATATATCATACTTCAGATTCGTGATTTCGAATACAGTCCTGAATCACACGAGAGTCGCAAGCAAGAGTTAGAGAAATTGATAGATGACCAGGAAAGTTTGAGGTCCTCTCTGTTGCAGTGGTGTTATACTAGTTATGGAGAGGTATTATTCATTATTTATCACATCAATTAATTTGTACAATAGCTGTCCAAACAAAATATTACAATGCACAATATTCAGGTCGGATAGGAGGAAACTGAGCACAGATAATGAAATCAATTATTATGAATTCCTTGAGTATCTGCAATTTACATTTGTATTTACTTTTTTTTGTGATAATAAAAAATAATAAAATTATTATTATTATTATAATTATAAACATAAATATAAATAAATTTTATAATTTTATTGCAAGTGGTTTTTATTTATTTTGTAGAAATTCTTTTATAATAGGTAGTTATTTGAATTTAAAAAATAGTTAAATTTAAAAAAAAAACGGCCAAAATGTAAAAAGAAAGTTAAATTTTAAAAAAGTGTCACTTAAATAATAAAATAGTAAAACAATTAATTTAATTTTTTCTTAAAAAAAGGCTATTACATAAAGGATAAAATAGAAAACAAAATATGAACACAAGAAAAAGAGAATCCTATATATAATGGTCTAGATGATGCCTTTTCCCTCTTCACCACTGTTGGCACTTTTAGCAGCCCCTTAATTTTTCGGTTTAAATTTCTACATTTTTTATTTACATTTGAAAATTCTGTTATCACTTCTCAGTATCATAAAATATTGTTAAGTTCTGTGATCTCTCTCTTGTTCTTGCCCTGTTATCATAAATGATGTGATTTCTGATTTAATGTTTTTACTTTTTTTATTTACTGAAGGTTTTCAGCTCCTGGATGCACTTTTGTGCAGTACGTGTATTTACTGAGAGCATTCTGAGATATGGTCTTCCACCATCTTTCTTGGTTAGATATAACAACTTTCAGTTTCGCTTTTTTCGCTCCAAATATTTTATAACTGACCATTGGTTCTTGTGGTCATCCAGGCATGTGTTTTAGCTCCATCAGTCAAATCTGAGAAGAAAGTACGCTCTATCCTTGAAGGGTTGAGCGACAGCACAAACAGGTAAGAGACTTATTTCTGTGTATGTAGCTTAAAATAGATATACTTAATTTTTTACGCTACCAAGATTGATTTATGGGAAGTCAATGACATGTTTGGGGTCAAGATACTTTTCTCTTTTGCCCCCTACCTCGTATTGATTCAAGAGAAAATAAGATGCTTAAGAAAATTGCTTTTTTATTTGGCGAGTGTCACTAAGTGTGTCTTGGGCAGTGTTTTAGTTTTACAGTTTCACTAAATGTGTCTTGGGCAGTGTTTTACTTTTACAGTTTCGTGCATCTTTCACATAAAATATGGTAAATGCATTAGAAACTCAACAGGCTTCAATTATTTGGTGATTCCTTAATCCATTATTATTGACTACTTTCAAAATTATTTGAGATGTTGACACTTGGCACTCTTCAGAACCAGATGAGAAAGAGATAGTAAGCAAACGAAATTTGTTACTGCTTCACATAATCTGTCCTTCAGTGTAGCATTTTGCATGCTTGTCAACGTCCTGTGATTTTCTCTCCAAAATATCCAATGCTCCTTTTTCAAGGAAGCATCAATTATACTGTCCACGTCATTACACCATACTACCACATACTTTATCTTTAATTGCCTTCAATTATTGTAGGCAACGCCAACCCATTATTATCGGAAACCGAACTCAATATTATCGTTGTCTTGCTTTTACTACTACTATTATTATAATTATTATAATTATTATTATTATTATTGCTATCTTTTAATTCTACTTTAATCCTAGCCGTGCAATATGAGGGCGGTATACTAGCATTATGATACAACATGCTCATACATTCAATCATTAATTCCTATGACATACTTCAGCAGAACTTGCATCCTCCATATATTTGATCCACAAGGCCATATCTATAGTTATATTATTTATCTATAATATAGCTTCTTTTTTTGTTTTTAATGTTACATGCTCATGTTGTTATTGTTCCTTTTATGTTTTACGTGCAGTGGTTACTGGAAGACCGAGGATGATGGGGTTGGGATGGCTGGCCTTGTAGCAGGTGATGCTGATGCCCACCCTTACGTCTCGTTCACTATCAATCTTGTTTGAGTGCAGCCAGAAACGAGCTCTATCTTCTTTCAGGGTCAGGAAGGATTCCTTTGTACATTAGGGTCATGTTCCATTCATTTCTTCTTCTTTTTTCCATATATATAATATATAATTTGAGCGCATTCAAGTTTCCAGAAGGATCTGGTGAATTTAAGTGGTCTTATGGTACCAAGTTTTGATCATTAACTTGTATTGAGTTATTTCTTCATGTTTCTCGTCTATGATCATGTAACTAGAGAAGTTACAGTCTTTGTATTTCTTGGTAGCATATCTACAAAATACTACATAATACTTTGTTTGTATCTTGAGACTAATATATATCCATTTGTTTATACTTTTGGATATGGGCTGATCTAGACTAATCTGTGCGGACGTCAACTCCTTTTGGATCAAGTTTATATTTTTTAAAGTGAGATACACTTAGAGGAGTATATTGATAGAATTATGTATTACAAACTAAAATTTGAGATGATAATTAAATATATTTTTATAAACATATTTTAGACATTCTCACAGTTCACTTAGGTTGATATTTGAGAGTAGGATAATGATTTTTCACTTCGTTTTTTTTTATAACATTTTAACTCCACTACGTGTAAAGAAACTATTGGTCTACATAACCCGAATTTAAAACAAAAAAAAACTTGGAAAATTCAATTTTAAGGATTTGGGTTTTGCCGTTTTCCTCATTTTGGTTTAAAATTGATTTTCATTCTCGAAATTGGTTTTCATTGTGGGACTTTTTGGTGGGAGGACATCGCAGCAACCAATCGGTCTATCGGTGTTCATGTCGAAGTGTTGTCGTGCGTTGACCGTGGGTTTCACGCTTTGTGTTTTGGTAATAGGTTCTGGATTTTTTTAATGCTTTCGTGGAACATTCATCGGTTTTAGTGTGGTGGTTACGTCGTTCATTGGTCATCGGTTTGGGTGTTGGTGGTGTTTGTGTTTTGGTATAGGTAATTGGGTCTTTTTTGTGAATGTCTCGTTTTGATATTTTTGCTTTCTTTTTAATTTTTGGACTCTTTTTTCGTCAACATTAAGTATTTCTGAAATGGACAACCTTAGTGAAGTTGGTCAACATAGTCATGGCAGGAATAAGGTATGTAGGGTTATACGATAGTTCAAAACAATTTCAGTTATTTATGTATACGAGTAAAAATGAGTGACGATTTTGTTACTTAATGATCATTGTTTCTTTGTCATAACATGTGTTGTTGAGTATAATTTGTATGTGTACATGTATTGTTAAGCTGTTTTTTTCAAAGAAAATGAGTGATGACTTTGTTGCTTAATGATCATTGTTTGTTTGTCATAACATGTGTTGTTGAGTACACTTTGTATGTGTTGCATTTCATTCAGTCGTGTGATTAGTTTGGATGATTGTCTTTTCTGTGTGGAAGTTGGTGGCCTTTCTGTTGGTGTTCGTAATCAATTAGTTTTTTCTAGAATAAGATTTTAAGCTATTATTATAGTTTTGAATCTGAATTTGACAATCTCACTGTACCAGTTTTTAAGCTCTTTACCCTGCAAGTTTGATGGACGTAATTTAAATGCTGACACATTTGTCCTCTACTACTTGTTTGGTCTATAAATGTCTCTATAGTTATTTGGTTGAGTTGATTTTTTTGCATTGCATTGCTGATTCAATTATCTGTAATTTGAATGCAATAACTTAAATTTTGGACTTATGTTATGGTTGCAATTTGATTTTGAAAATCCCATAGAGTTTTTAGAGTTCATTTCTGGTTTAAATGCTGAGAAATTTGACCTCTACTACTTGTTTGGTCTAAAACTTTCTCTACAATTATTTGATCGAGTTGATTTCTTTTTGCATTGCATTCCTTATTCAATTATCTTTAATTTGAATTCAAGAACTTAAATTTTGGACTTTTTTCGTTGTTGGAGTTTGATTTTGAAAGTGACATACAATTTGTAGAGTTCAATTCTGGTTTAAATGTTGACAGATTTGACCTTTGTTGCTTGTTTGGTCTATAACATTCTCTATAGTTATCCGATTGAGTTGATTTTTTTTTGCATTGCATTCTAATTCAATTATCTTATTTTGACTATAAGAACTTAAATTTTGGACTTCTTTTGTGGTTGTAGTTTGATTTTGAAAATCCCATACAATTTGTAGAGTTCAATTCTTGTTTAAATGCTCACAGATTTGACATCTACTACTTGTTTGTTCTATAACTTTCTCTATACTTATCCGATTGAGTTGATTTTTTTTTGCATTGTATTCCTGATTCAATTATCTTTAATTTTAATGTAAGAACTTTAATTTTAGACTTCTTTTGTGGTTGTAGTTTGATTTCGAATGTCACATAGTTTGTAAAGTTCAATCATAAGGAAGTCATTTGGTATGTTGTCAATCCTTTGTTGTTGGCTAAGATAATTGAAGCTCACAATCTAATTGTCTTGAATTTCTTTTTTGTGTTGGAGGAGGACTTACAAAGTAGATTCGCAACCTTCATGAGGAACAAATGATTGGCAGAGGTTTTGATGCTTGACCATAAGGGTGGGGTTATGTGCAGAGTGTTGATTTCCAAGTCACGTAATTCCACAAAGTTTGAAAAATATGGAAGAAATTTCGCACACAATATGGGTTGAAGGAAGGAGATGATATGGTATTTGAGGTCCACAACAACAAAACTAATATTATTGTTGAAGTTTATATTAATGGATGTTGTTGTCATGTTGTGGAAATTTTGGTGTGAACCAAAGACTTGGTCATCAATTTATGTTAATGTACTTAAATAGTTTATTATAAATAAAAGTCAATTTAGGTTGAAGTGACATTTTTTCATTGTTGTAATTGACAGATATTGATTTTAGGAGGAGATTGAGAAGATACCTAGAGAGGTTAATACTAAGTGTTGTCTAAAGATGTTTATACTTATGTACCTGGAGAGGTTGAAACTCTTGTAACATGGAGAGGATGATACTTGTTACTGATCAAAGTTGTTGATTAGTGAAACTTCTTTAGTAGGTTGCTTAAGAGAATGGACGAAGCTTTGGGTGTATGTGAACTAGTATAAATCTATTGTGTGAATTTTATCTTTTCCTACTCTTTTACTTTGAATTTATAATTAGTTTGTTATTATATATTTGTGCGTGTAGTTTTTTAATTTTATTTTTCAGACTCTATTCATCCCCTTCCCCCCTTCTAGAGCCACATCACACTAATAAAGCTAACCCAAGTTTTCTTCCGGTGAACTTAATAGGAATTTCAACTTCAAACATGCATAAAACAAATATGTGAAAATAGCTTGATTCTCTATCTCTTCCTTAGTTAAATTTTTCATCATCTACATGTAAAGTCCTACTCTTTTCTTTCACCGTTGTACTTAAGCAAATAAGTATATAAGTTAGAATTAATCAACCTAACATTAATTAAGAGAGTAATCAAAACTCATAAGGTATACTTCATAGGTGAATGATTTTGAAATGATTAATCACACAATCCAATATTTCTCTTAACTAATAGAATTTAACTCTATAATCTTAGTTTGTATCTGAATCTTCTACTTATCCATTTTCTATTTTTGTTCAAGCATTTATTCTTTTTTTCTTCATCTAGGTTTAGGAATTTATAATCACATTGTAGAATATGATCATTGATGTATTTCTTTCTCTAAATATTTTTTCTTTTCAATATTTTCATCTACAATATTCTTGATTATCATTATAGTATTTTCATCTTCAATTTATCTATTCCTTGCTTTCTTGTATTTCTTTAATTTAAATTTCTTCATTCTTCAATTCATACAGTACGGTTGTGACTTTGAATGTAATCTTAGGATATCTTGTTGGGAATCCAAGTGTGAGTCTAAGTCTCACATTGGATAGAAATGACAAAGTAGAGCAGTATATAAAGGTTAAAGACCCATTAATCTATTGTCTTAAGGTTTTGGGTAGAGAGTGGTGTTAATCCCTTATGTGGTTGAGCTCCAATGTTATTGGTGTTTGTATCTCCTTGGTGAACCTCCTCCTTGATAGACACAACAGTGGTATTATAACCGATGGTTTGTCTTGGTGACCAGCTCAAACGAGTATAATGGTCCCTATACCAAAAGTCTTCTTGACAAAGGGTATTCAGGTAAGCAAGTCCCGTTAAGATGAACGATCCTTGGAAAGGGGCTACTCGTGGTTGTGGTTGGTTGGGAATGCTTCCGCTGGAGGGAGAGTGTACCTATGTGGAAGGGACTCACCCTTGAGGGGGAGATTGTTGGGAATCCAAGTGTGAGTCTAAGTCTCACAATGGATAGAAATGAGAAAGTAGAGTAGTATATAAAGGTGAAAGACCCATTAACCCATTGCCTTAAGGTTTTGGGTAGAGAGTGGTGTAAATCCCTTATGTGGTTGGACTCCAATATTATTGGTGTTTGTATCTTCCCGGTGAACCTCCTCCTTAATAGACTCAACATATCCTTCAAACAATTTGAAATCTTCAAAAGACTTCTTTGCTTGTTGTTGACTTAAATCATATAAGATATTCTTAAATATTTGCAATCATTGACTTGTCTGATGTCTTCACTATAGGAAATGTGCGTTTTTCCGGCGGCCTTTTACCCACAGCCTAGGAGCCCTCGGTAATGCAGTGGTGAAGTCAATTATTGAGGGCTTAGAGGCCTTCGGTAATGTATTCAAAGAATTTTAAGTTATTCCCTCTCTGCAATTCATTTTCCCACCAGCCTTAGTCTTCGTCCTATTCTTTGTCGCCCAAAACCCTTCCCTTCAACCCTTCCCCCGTGCTCCTCCAACGATACCAAAGTCGTAAGCTTCCTCTCCTCTGCCCAAATTGTCAGTAATTCCCCCTCTCTTCTGCCCAAATTTCAGAAATTCCTCCAACGATACCAAAGCCATAGTCCATTTTTGGTCACCGTAAGGCGTTCTTTCGCGGAGCTTAGGTCGTTGGTGGCATGGTCTTTCCGGCAGGGTGGTGGGTCGTGCTAGTTGGCGTTTTGCGGTAATGGTGGTGGGTAATCGAGGTTGGCTTGACGGTAGCGTTGGGGTGATGTGGGCTTGTTAAGTTCGTGGTCGGGGTCTGCAGAGCCTGGCATCTTCGTCCATTTTTCTTTCGAGGTAAGTTTATTTTCAAAATTGATTTTTTGTTGAGAAGAAATTGTACTTGAATGATGCTTGCTTTCTTTCTTTTTTTCATTTTCATGTTGTTTTGTCTCTGTCATTGTGTGTGGTAGAAATTGTGTTCTTTTTGTGTGGTCTTAGAGTTTCTGAAGGTGCCAACATCCGTTGGATATTGGTCATTGAGGGTATTTGAATGAATAGATTGTTGGATGCTTAACTGGAAATTGTGATTAAATTCAAC